TCTGTCACATCGAATGTTTGCGGCCCGTGCATGAAGCATTAAATGTAGACGAAAAGATAAACTAATTGCACAGTTTGGTGGGAAATTACGAGACGAACGTTTTGAGCCTAATTAGTCCATGTTTGAACACTATTTGCCAAATAAAAATGAACGTGCTACAGTAGCCCCAAAATCCAAATTCCTACGACTAAACAAGGGCTTAAACTATAAGATTCTGACAAGAGGAATGCATATAATATTCTTATTAGAAGGGGAACACCTTGTTGCATTACGATTTTGCTAGATTTCAATACAGACATTTGTGTTGACCTCCATTCCCCAAGTTTGTTCGATGATTTTTTTTCTTATTGAGGTGATTAGACATTTACAACTTAAAACCAGGACTCCGGTTAGTAGCGTATCTAACCACAAATAAGGAACTTGGTCGCCTCTTCATGTATACATTGATAAACCTGTTCAGCACTAAAGGCAATTTGCATAAACAGATCTTGATGGCTTGCCAATTGATAAACATGTTCAGCACCAAATGCAATTTGCATAAACAGATGTTGATGGCTCACCAAATAATTCAGAAAAAAGTAGTTACTCAAACCTCCTGTACGCTTATATTTCTCCACTCCACTGCTGATATCAATGTACATGAAGAGGCATTAGATCTGTGGTTTCCAGATGCTGTAATCTCTTTTTGTGTTTGGCTGAAGGCTACCCATAAATTGAAATGAATTCACAATTCCCGCATTCCAAACATGCCCTTAATAGCTAGCCACGAACAAAGCCACTGTGGCAGGGCGGCAGGTGGCAGCACTCGATGACGCATCGAGCCAGCCCGCCACTCAGTGAACTTATTTGTTACTCCCTCCATTCTAAATTATAAGTTATTTAGGTTTTTCTAGGTACATGGCTTTTGATATACATCTCGATATATGCTATGTCTAGATACATAGTAAAAACTATGTAGTTGAAAAAGACAAATGACGTATAATTAGAACGAAGAGAGTATTGATTATCTGAACCTGTCAAGATAGCTTTCATTATTGAATGAACTTCCACTGGATTACTCAGCCTGTCAAGCCAGCTTTCAAATGAACTTCCACCGGATTGCTGTTGCTTCCTTGCTTGGTGCTTGCTGGTTGTTGACTTGTCGCGGGCTTGCCGCTTGCTTGCAGGCTTCCTGCATCCTGCTGCTTGGTGTGTGTGTGTGTGGTTGCATCTGCATGCAAGCTCGTGCAGTGAAGCTCTACAATTCGACACTAGATGCAGACATGAAGTGCAGGCGTGCGGTATTCGGGCTTAGATTCCAATCTTCCCTTCGTTTCTGTTGAAGAATTTCCACATGTATTGTTTGTTTCTGTATATCATTTCAAACCTAATTTTTTAGAAACTCGGTCCTGTTTCTGCAAAAATCATAGAAACAGAAAAAATGAGAGCTGTTTTCCTGCTCATTTTCGTTCCTAACTGAACTTAAGTTAGTAGATTTTCAAGATTGGTGAAATTACTATAGAAGTCTCGTTGTTAACCGACACATCACCTGTTATTGAAAAAATAATGTCGTTAAATCCTAGAATAAATCTAGAACTCAAACCCAAATAGTTGAACTCCCGCCTACTATTATGTATATATTTGTTCCGTTATTTATACTACTATAAAAGTGCTCACATAGGAGCGCGGTGAAATAAACTTTGGGAAGAGGCTAAGGTCGCTGTAATTAAAGACCAAAGTGATTCTTCTATTTGTCTTGTTTACTTACTAAAATGCTCTCACGTTCTTCGTGTCCCGTATGTGACCCGTACTTACTTTATACGAGCTAAACCAACTCACATCTAACGATAGTATTGAGTTTGATTATAAGACATATTATGTTCCTTTTATTTAATTCATAGATACATTTGCTAATTCGTTTTAGAATAAGAATTTGATAATGGCCTATCTGATTATCTCTAAACATGTAACTAATTCAGCTCATTTATTATAAAAACTCTACATAGCGCCTCTTTATCTTTTTTTTAAACGAACCAGGCAGGAGAGCCGATTATATTAAAAAGAAGGAAACCCAAAGTGGGCACAACGATACAACAATGACCAACAATCACGCCGGTAAACAAACTCAACAAAAATGAAAAAAAATAACTCTAGTCGGTCGGATTGGGTCATCGACACGAACCGCATAAAGCCGAAGCTCAACTCAGAAAAAAAAGAACCACCACCAACTCCAAACCACCAGCCGGTCACCACACTGCACCTTGCACCTCTTTATCAAATTGCCCTGTTGTACGAGAGTGAATATATATAATCTACTAAGTCTCTTTTCTGCGGAGTAAATATTTTTTCTAAATTAGTTTTCTTGTTTAGTTTCCATATTCGGAGGCGTTCCACGTGCAGGCTTGCATACTACTGTGACCAGATGGCTGCTGCCGTGCCCCCACCGCCACCGGCGGACGACGAGTTTGCGCCGATGGAGACGCTACGATGGCATCCGAGACGAATAGTTTGCTACTCCCCTTTGGCTCCAAGCAGTGGCATGCAACCAGTCAAGCAAGTCGATGCATGCAATTTTCTCTTGCTCTGATAGGATCTCGATCGGATTCATCCGACGATCGCCCGCCGGCCGCCGCCCCGACCCGTCCGGCACCGGCAGTTCGGGCAGTGCCTGCTTGTCCTTTCCCCGTGCGATGATGACCCGCGCTCGGGCAGGGGAGGGAAGGGGCACCGGGTACCGGGCACCACGAGCACGGCAGCAGGCAGCTGGCCCAGAACACTGCTGACATGATTGGGACCTCTTTGTATTGTTCGATAACAGACACCCTCCTAGCCTCCTAGGTTGTGCGCTGCCTAATCGACAGTTTCAGGCCACCGGATTCATCAATTATTCACATCAGCATCAGCTTGCTTGTAGGGTACACCCAAGCAACTTGGAAATTAGCAATTGTCGCGTTCATGTTCAGAAAGCTGCAATTTTGATGCCAACACATGCATGTGTCTATTTGTCAATATTTCTTTTTAATATGCCTCGACAATGGCTCCAGCTTTCGGTACCCAGTGGGTACGAACGGTTCGCTGCATGGTTTCTGGCGGAAATGCCGCAGCAAATTTGATAGAAGAGACAGAAGATGGAATCAGGATATACTTCTGGTACAATGTTTGGAAAGAAATAAATAGAAGAATCTTCCAATAAAAATCACTTCAACCATGCCAAGTATGGAGTAGCTCTTACGTGCAAAGATGATATCTAGCAATACCAGCTTGCAACGAGACCCAATCAGCATGTTCGTTGTTTGGTTTCTGGGCTGATAAGCTCAGCTGGTACTAGTTTATTGTGAGAGAAAAATATTATTAGCTGACTGATAAGCCATGACTAAAACCAGCAGACGAAGAGACTGAACGATGAGTAGTTTAATTTCTTTGTTCGAGTCTGTTCGTACCCTGGAAGTTTGAGCTGTCTTTTGTTTCGTTAGTTCAGTTCAGTAGCTTAGTAGTGTCTGGCCTTTGCGCCTGGGTAGTTTGGAGTTTGGCCTCTAAAGAAACCTTTTTGTAATTATTGTTTTTCCTTTTTCATCGCCTAATAAAAATCCGGCAAAGCTTTTGTCGTCTCTCTAAAAAAAAATATGCCTCAACAAAAAACAATCGATAATTGATCATGTTTTTACATAAAAGAAGTTTGTATTGATATAAAAAAATTACATCAAAATGATCCATTTCGTTAGAAATTTAGGCAATTTTGATACTAATTTAATCCAGAAAATATTAACAGTATGTTGGTGACATAAAAAAGGGTGCATGTGTTGCAAATAAATTAACGAGCATCATACAATCATGGATTCAAACATGGAAAATGGAAAGTGGGCACTACAATAGCATACCCAGCGGCACCAGAGCCGTTTCCGCTAGTAGACATAGTGTTTGTTGATGCAGTTATCCCGCTCGATGTCGTGCATACAGGTTGTAGATCACCACTCTGTTGGAAGAAGTTGCCAAGCCCTCGGGAAGTAGCATGATGAAGATCGAGCAGTCGCGTGGAAGACGCTCTCCAAAAACTTGATTGTCGGTCTTCACTCGAGCAGATGAACCCAAAAACGTCACCGATTTTGGAGGCCTACTCTCCCTATTCCTGTACACGCAGGATCCAGGCGCGGGAATTCTCTGGTTGCAGCGGGAGCACTGGAATTATATTCACAAGCCCGCAGAAGATAAGAAGTCTTTCAGAAGTCGAACGGGCACGGTACAGAAACAGAAACTCTCGTAACTCCCGTCTTCTGTTGTGACGGGCCCGTGTACGATCACAATCACGCCATGCTACGCCTCGCCTTGCCTCGGCAGCGGCAATGCGCCCGCATGTGGCACGCCCTTGTCCTCTCTCAATTCTCAATAGATGCATACACAGTTCACGTATATAAGTTAAGTTACCGTCTAGTCAAAATCTTATACGGGACTAAAACTATATTACACATAACATTTAATATGTGCTCTTAGGATTTATTTGATTTAATTGAATTAAAATAGGTCAAGCCCATAATTAAATCTAACAATCCTCACCAAATACCAAGGCACATATTGATGTTCTCAAATCCACTCTTCTTTGATATACCAGAGTTTCGATGAAAACAGTTAAGTTAAACATCCATATAGAACTGAGGTTACACTCATTCGCAACTGAACAAAGACTATGTCTTAAATTGACAGTTTAGTGCGAAAGTCAGTCTTTTCAAAGACCTTTTCTAGCCCTAAAAGGCTCCGTTCGCTTGGAGGAATTTGGTGGAATCTAGAGAAATTTATGAGAGAAAATCAGTCATAAACAGTAACTTTCGCCGTGAACAGTACAATTTTTGCACCATCCGAACGGGGCCAAAGAGTGCTTTGTTAATGACCTCCAACTACGAAGCTCCCATGTGTAACGTAATTAAGCGTTGTCACTCTCACATTAAACTAAAAACAAGGATATGTATCTTAGGATCGGAGGAGAGCAACCCGCCCGCCAAACCCACAGGAGGATGCATGTTCAATGCTCATGCTAGGAGCACCTCGTCGATGAGCCTGCCCACGTTGCGCAGCCTCGCCGCGGCCACGGCGCTCTCCTTGAGCTCCGTCACGCGCCGGCGCATCTCCCGCCCTTTCTCCCCCTCCATGGCCTCCCGTATGAGCACCTCCACTTCGCCCCGCCGGACGTCATTGCCGATCTCCATCCCGATGCCCCACTCGGTGTGCTTGTACCGGCAGTTGGTCTGCTGCTCGGCGAAGAAGGGCCAGCACACCATGGGCACGCCGCCGCAGATGCTCTCTAGCGTGGAGTTCCACCCGGAGTGCGTCAGGAACACCCCCACGCCCTCGTGCTCCAGCACCGCAGCCTGCGGGCACCACGTCGACAGCATGCTCCGGCCCTCCGTCGCGGCCAGGAACTCCGGCGCCAGCAGCGTCGCCGCCGGCGCCCTTGACGAGGTCCGGGCGCACGTTCCACAGGAAGGCGTAGCCGGTGTTGACCAGCCCCCACGCGAACTCGGCCAGCTGCTCGTTGGACATCACCGTGATGCTCCCGAAGTTGATGTACACGACCGAGCGCGGCGCGCGGCCGTGGAGCCACCGGAGCGGCGCGTCCTGCTCCTTCCACACAGTGGCGGAGCCAGGATTTATAGTCAGGGGGGGCCGGCCGTCAGAAATTATACTTAGGGGGGGCCGGCTCGGTCTTTTTCATTGCGATAATTTTATTATCTAGTTGTGTTTTGTATGATTATATTATCTAGAAGATATTAATAGATATATATAACAAGAATTTTATATAATCTTCCTCTTAATATAAATAAAAAATATTAAGTTATACTACTATTTTTTTTTGTTGTCAAACATTGGGGGGGGCCATGGCCCCTGCCAGCCCCCCCCTGGCTCCGCCAGTGCTTCCACAGGTTGGACCCGATGGCCGTGACGGGGCTGTCCGCGGGGACGTTGTTTCGCACCGTCAGCGGGAGCGGGCCGACGGTGTAGATGGGCCGCGACAGGAGCTTGGCCATGGCGTGGAGCAGCGTCGCGTCGAGCTCGTCGAAGGTGTTGATGACCACCGCTGACGCCTGCGACATCCCGGCGACCTCGTGGATGAAGAAGTTGAGCATGATGTCGTCCGGGTCCGTGGTGCGCACGAAGCTCGGGAAGTCCCGGAGCCGCAGGTCCTTGGGCGCGCCGGGGATCCAGTCGACGACGACGGTGTCCAGGTACCCGTCGGTGAGCCGCGCCTCGTTCTCAAGCGGGACGATGCCCCGCTCGACGAGGTGGCGGTAGTAGTAGTAGCCGATGAAGCCGCAGGCGCTGGCGGTCCAGAGCGTGGCGCAGCGGAGGCCGAGCTCCCGCGCGCCGCGGAGCGCGAAGGTCATGATGCTGTCGGCGACGACGCACGTCACGGTGGGGCGTCCCTGGGCCTCGGCCTCGGCATTGGTCCTGGCGACGAGGTCCTTGAACCGGGGCAGGCAGGTGGTCATGGTGGAGTAGCAGAGCGCGGGGACGTCCTGCGTGGCGTCGACTTCGGAGGGCGGAAGGCCGTCGTTGATGGCGGCGAAGCGGAACCCCGGCGCGCCGTCGAGCGCGCCCGGCCCGCGCGCGCGCAGGTGGCGGCGGTGGTTGAACTCGTTGTTGACGAAGGTGATGTGGAAGCCGAGTGTGTAGAGTAGCTTGGCCAGCTGCAGCATCGGCGTGACATGGCCCTGCGCCGGGTATGGGACCATCACCACGTGCGGCGGCTGCTGGCGCCTCTCCCCCTCTGCCGTCGGCAGCGACCCCATGACTGCTCTGGCTACTGGTGGTGGCTACCGCTCCAAGGTCCATGGCTTCAGCGGAGCCGCTTTGCTAGAATTGGTGATTTTGTCTATGCTGCTGGTGTTCCACTTGAGCTCCTGCCCGCGCCGCCTTATATAGGAGTACTAGTGACTAGCACCTCAGTTATTTTGGAAAATCACAACTACTAATTATGATAACGACATATGAAACGAAAAGGCACAGAGCAGAGTCAAGATTTAACAGTAGTCTACTGTTCCCAAGAATGTCACTTAAGCGCCCTCCATGTCATTAAAGAAAGCCATTAAACATCGACACGGTCTTCAAAAACAACCTTAACCTCTACTTTTTCTATAAAATATCTATAAAATATAGTCAGTATATACTTTTATAAAACTCTTCCATCAGGATAAAAGCCTTAGTCAAGGATAATCAGTAGCCCTGTAAACTGAGCTGTGGCCATATGCTGATTAATTCCCATACTCTTGCATCAGGAGAACCTTGCTCATAGATCAAATCTTCAGAGGGACCCTTGTTATCAAAGAAAGGAGCGTTCAAATGACTGAAAATTGGATGCAAGTATTGAAATTTCTGAAAAGAGGCATAGGTATCCCCTTAAATAAATAGGAAACTACTTCAGGAGCCATATAATAATTAAGTGTAACTGTTGCACCAAACATGTGCCTTGGTTTTTTCTTTCCTTTGCTTCTGAACTTATCGTCCTTTTTTCAGAACTAGTTGGAAAAATTGATTCTATAGAGCGAGAGCTGGAGACAGCCAAGACGGCGATCGATCGGAGCGAGGAGGCGCTAGCCAAGTCCCTTGAAGAGCGACGTGCTCTCGAGGGGGAGCTCGACCAGATTCGCAACGTCGCCCAGGTGGTCGTTTCCGAGGTGTTCGGGTCGGCGCCGAGCACCAGTACGCCCGCCGTCCAGCTGGCGGAGGTCCTGAACAAAGTTCGGGCGCTCATCTCCGATGGCATGTTCTACGGGACGTCAGGGGTGCTGACCTTAGTGGCGACGCACCACTCGGACCTGGACTTCGCCGCCATCTGCAGAGGGTACGCCGATGGCTGGAGCGCGGATGCGATCCATGCGCTTGGGGAGAGCTTGGTGCCATATGCACAGATGGTGGCCGAGCAAGTCTCCGCGCAGTGGGTGATGGAGGCTCGCCGTTCGAGCATGGCTGAAGGCGTGCGCTAGGAAGATGTCATCCAGCCTACGGACGGAGTGGAGACCGGGTCGGAAGCGAGCGTCGTCCCACCTCCAACCGAGCCGAATGTCGTCCCGTCGGAAAGCGAGCAGCCCTTATCCTCGTCGAATGTGCCGTCAGCCGATGTCGTCGGGCGGCCACAATAGAATTTAGAGTAGAAGCAGTTAGTATATATAAAAGATAAGTTCGTGGGGAAGCCCCCGTGTGAACAGTTTTTTGTATTCATGAATACTTCAATTTTGTTTTTCGATGGAATCACTCGTAAGGGGAAGCTTGTCCCATCCGTCTTTGTTTTCACCCTAGCATAACTTGTTTTTTATCCTTTCTTTTTTGCACCTGCCCGTTTGACCCATAGGCTGCAACCTTAAGAACCTAGGCATGGACCGCGAGACTTAGCTGCTCGTAACCGTAGGTCATGGCGGGGTGTGATCGGTCGGGAGTTTAAAACATAAGTTACGTAGGATAATTAAAGGAATGGACTACCCTTTCGTTTGGGTGAAAAGTATTACTATATGATAGTAAGAAAAGAGGGGTGGTATCGCACCCTCGGGGAGCCCCCGAGCAACCCAGGCCGAGAGTGTTCGGGCTGGGGTGCTTGTAGGAGCAAACGTTGAATGAAAGAAAGCGGTAAGACCGAGTTTTTAGGTGAAGAAACGACGTAACTGTTCGATGTTCTATGTATTGGTGAGAATGTTGCTGTTGTCATCCTTCAGTCGGTAGGTGCCCGGTCGGATCACTTCGGTCACCGTATAGGGTCCTTCCCATGGTGGAGACATTTTATGTTTCTCCTTGGTTGATTGGGTTCTTCGGAGCATGAGGTCTTCGACCTCGAGGATCCTCCCTCTGATTTTTCTTTCATCGTACCTGCGGAGAGTTTGCTGGTAGCGAGTGGAGCGGATGACGGTCGTCTCGTGAGCTTCCTCGAGCAGGTCAACCACGTCCTGCTGAGCCTCCATGGCTCGGTCTCGGTCGAAGTCCTTCACTCTTGGGGCGCTGTGGTCGAGGTCGGAGGGCAACACTGCTTTAGCTCTGTAGGCTAGGAAGAAAGGTGTGAACCCTGTGGATCGGTTTGGGGTCGTTCTCTGGCTCCATAGGGTCGCTGGGACCTCTACAACCCATCGCCCGTCGTACTTATTGAGTTGGTCGAAGATTCGTGGCTTAAGTCCTTGGAGAACCATGCCATTGGCTCGTTCGGCCTGACCGTTAGTACATGGATGTCCGACCGAGGCCCAGTCGATCATGATGCCGTATCCATCATAGAAGTCCAGGAACTTCTTCCCGGTGAAGTTAGTTCCGTGGTCAGTGATGATATAGTTAGGAACACCAAAACGATAGATGATGTCAAGGAAGAACTTGACCGCCTCTTCTAAGCGAATGTTGGTGATGGGCTTTGCCTCTATCCACTTGGTGAATTTGTCCACCGCTACGAGTAGGTGAGTGAAGCCACCCGAGCCCTTTTTGAGGGGTCCGACCATGTCGAGGCCCCAGACCGCGAATGGCCAGGTGATGGGGATGGTTTGAAGCTCATGCGCCGGCAAATGAGTTTGTTGAGCGTAGAACTGGCATCCCTCACACCTACGGACGACCTCCTCTGCATCTCGCAGCACAGTGGGCCAGTAAAAACCTTGGCGAAAGGCTTTTTTGACCAACGACCTCGGGGCCACGTGATGTTCATAGATTCTGTCATGGACCTCGAGGAGGAGTTGTTTCCCTTGGTCGGTGGGGACGCACTTCATGAGTACTCCCGACAGACTTCGCTTGTAAAGTTCATTACCGAATGTGACGAACATTTTGGCTCGTCGAGCGATTCGTTGTGCTTCAGTCCTTTCTGGTGGAAGAATCTCCTCGAGGAGGTAGGTGAGTAGCGGTGCTCTCCAGACAGCTTGATCGAGTGCTACCATGGCGAAGTCGACGGGCGACGTCATCATGGAGGCACCAAGGTCGGAGCCCGCAAGTGCTAGATTGGCATCAGAGTGTGTCTAGATCGGACCTTCTAGGATGCGGGCAGATGGCTCATGAAGGTCGTTGATGAAGACCCCATCTGGAGATGGAACCCGCCTGACAGCCAATTTTGCGAGAAAATCGGCGGCATCGTTGTTCTTTCGGGGGACATGATGTAGTTCGATCCCCTAGAATTTGTCCTCGAGCTTGCGCACCTCTTGGTAGTATGCTGCCATGAGGGGGCTTTTGCAAGAGGATTTCTTCATGACTTGGTCAATGACCAACTCTGAGTCGCCGTGGACGTACAGCCGCGTAGCGCCAAGCTTGATGGCGATGCGTAGTCTGTTGATGAGGGCCTCGGATTCCACGGCGTTGTTTGAGGCTAAAAAATGGAGGCGGATCGCGTACCGGAGCCTGCTCTCATCTGAGGAGATTAGAACCACTCTAACCCCCGAGCCGGGCGCCATCATAGACCCGTTGAAGTACATCATCCAATACTCGTGGGTGACATCTGGGGTCAGGAGTTGGACCTTCGTCCATTCAGCGATAAAGTCCACGAGAGCGTGATACTTAATAGCGGTGCGGGGGATATACCTGATGTCGTGGTCCATTAGCTCGAGCGCCCACTTGGAGATCCATCCCACGGCGTCACAGTTGCGGATGATGTTTCACAGTGGGAATGAAGTGACGACCATGACTTTGTGGTCGGTGAAGTAGTGCAGGAGCTTCCGGGTCGCCATCAGCACGGCATATAGAAGTTTTTGCACCTAGGGGTACCGAACCTTGGCGTTGGTGAGTACCTCTCCGATGAAGTATACGGATCGTTTGACCTTCAGGTGGTGTCCCGGCTCCTCCCTTTCAACGACTAGGGCAGCGCTCACGACGTGGTTGCTTGCCGCGATATAGAGGAGGAGGGGTTCTCCCCGTTTGGGAGCGACGAGGATTGGGGCCAACGTCAGTGATGCTTTGAGGCTCTCCAAAGCCTGTTGTGCTTCCTCAGTCTAGACGAACGTGTCCGTCTTTTTGAGAAGTTTGTAGAGAGGCATCCCCCGCTCGCCTAGCCAGGAGATGAACCGGCTCAGAGCGACCAAACAGCCGGTGAGCCTCTGTACGCCCTTGACGTTGCGTATAGGGCCCCATGTTGGAGATGGCCGTGATTTTTTTAGGGTTGGCCTCGATGCCGTGTTCGGACACAATGTATCCAAGCAGCTTCCCCTTTGGAACATCGAAAACACATTTTTTGGGATTCAATTTGATGTTGAACCTTCAGAGGTTTGCGAACGTTGTGGCCAAGTTTGCGATTAGGTCGCAAGCTTGAGCCATTTTGACCACTATGTCATCTACATAGACGATGATTGTTGGTTTTGGCCGCTCAACTTGATCAGGTTGGTCGAGCAGGTCGATTTGGTCGGCGAAGCATTGCTGCATGCACCATTGATAGGTAGCGCCAGCATTCTTCAGACCGAAAGGCATGGTTACGTAGCAGTACAAACCATACGGGGTGACGAATGAAGTTGCAAGCTGGTCGGACTCTTTCATCGTAATCTAGTGATAGCTTGAGTAGGCATCCAGAAAGGAGAGGATTTCACATCCTGAGGTGGAGTCGACTATCTGGTCTATTCGTGGCAAAGGAAAATAGTCCTTTGGACACGCTTTGTTGAGGCCAGTATAATCAACGCACATTCTCTATTTCCTAGTCTTCTTTTTAACAAGAATAGGATTGGCTAGCCAGTTAGAGTGGTATACCTCCTTGATGAATCCGGCTGCCAGGAGTTTGGCGACCTCCTCACCTATGGTCCTGCGCCTCTCGTCGTCAAAGCAACGTAGGCATTGCTTGGTGGGCTTTGAGCCTGGG